GTGGGGTTTAGGGGATTTAAGAAAAGAACAGATGGGTTACTCACAGGGAGGCCAGGGGGACCTCCAGGACCAATGGGGCCAGATGCTCCTGGAATACCCTAGGAAGGAAGGAGAGGGGCCTGGCTCAAGGGGCTCCTCCTCCCCCCCACCCCAAGCCACAGCCAAGTCTCCGCCTGCCTGCACCCCCATCCTCCTCCCAGCAGACCTCCCAGGACCACTCCTCTACTCACTGTCTCTCCCTTCTGGCCGGTGGAGCCCTGAGGGCCAGGAAGTCCCCGATCACCCTTCTCTCCCTGTTCCCCAGGGGGACCGATCAGTCCGATGAGGCCTGGGTGACCCTAGAGCAAGCGCAGTGGTCAGCAGGTGCAGACAGGAGATGTGTGGTGCGGAAGGAGCCCAGAGAGGCCGGCACAGGGCCTCAGGACAGGGCAGGACTGAGAGTGGCTATCACTGAACAAGAACCCCCCAAGACTGGGCTGGCCCAGGAGTGGGCACTTGGGGTCCCCATAGGCTTCAGGGAAAGATGAGGGAAGACAGCTGGTGACCTATCTCTCACTCACCTTCTCCCCCTTGGCTCCAGCATCTCCTCTGAGGCCAGGAAGCCCTGGGGGTCCCTGTCAAGAGACAGGAGGAGATGGGATCAAGCTCTAACCCCGCTTCCTCCAGGGCTTCAGGTCATAGGCCACTGTCCCAGAGTGCCCACCCACTCCAGTCACTCACCACAGGACCTGGAGGCCCAGCCTGGCCTGTGGCCCCAGGACGGCCTTGCTGACCCTGAAAATTTGAGGGGACCACAAGGTCAGGAGTGCTCCCAGGCCACACCCATCCCACTCCAGCCAAGCATCTCTGCTCTATGACGTACCACTGAGCCGGGAAGCCCTCTCAGGCCATCAGGGCCAGGCTTTCCTGCTGGGCCTGCAGGACCCACGGCACCTGTCTTCCCTGGGGCGCCCACAGCACCAGGATCCCCCTGAAACACACAAGGGAAGAGGAGGGGCTGGTGGGTGGAGGTAGAGGGTCCAAGACAAAAGGGGTGAAGCAGGGAGCTGGGGCCCATCCCCAGGAGCCCCTGGAGAAGGAACAAAGGTAGAATCCCAAAAGGGATACAGTGGAGAGGGGGGTGGACATGGGGAAAGGCATCTCAGGAACAAAAGCGGTGGAAAGACAGGGAATATTCCAGCACCCAGAGCAGCCTCTCCCTCACCTTGGCTCCCTTCTCCCCTTGTCGCCCCTCAGGACCAGGCGTGCCAGCAGGACCCTGCAGATGGAGGCAGAAGGAAGAGCAGGTGAGGTAGAAAGTGGCCAGGCTGGGTGTTCACAGACCACACACCTGCCCAGGCACAGGCGCAGTCTCCGAGGCCGAGTGGCGATGGCGAGAGCCGATGGTGAGAGCCGATGCAGCTTGCACCCGTGGCTAAGACACAGACACGGAGCAGCTTTGGCCAAGGGCCACTTGTGCGGACACCAGCAACTAAAGGGTTAAAGCCTGCCCCAGCCAGAGCCTGCAGGAAAGCCAGCTCCTTTCCTCCAATGTCCATTCTGATTGGTCAGCACACACCACCACCCCTGGCTGGAAATACAGACCCAAACCCAGGAGCCAACACTCACATCTGTGCAGCACACTTACGAACACACCTCCACACACACATGCACGCCCACGCAGGACAGCCCCACGCCAGCACCTGCCACTCCCCATGCGCCATCTGCCCTGCCCAGGGCCTGCCCTTCACCATCCCAGGTGTCCACCCTGCTCACCCGCTTTCCAAGTGGTCCAGGAGGTCCATTCTCCCCAGTGGGGCCAGGGGATCCCTAGAGAGGGAAGAATAGGAGTGGGAGAGTGTTTAGTCACAAGCCAAAGGATCCCCCAGAATTGGGGACAGAAGTGGTCTGAAGGCTGGGGCTTGGGGGGCGGGAGGGTCGCTGGTCACTCACAGGCTGTCCCGCCTCGCCGTCCTCTCCCCGATCGCCTTTAGCACCATCCTGGCCCTGCAAGGATGACACGCGGTCAGGAGGGGCCCCACTTGGCTGGCATCACCCCAAAACTGCCATCCCTCCCTCCTTTGCCTCCCTCCCCCAAGACCGTCAGCCCCATGGGGGCCTCCACCTCCGTAGAGGACCCCTCCTTGCCCCTTGCCCCTCTGCATCAGACTCACCCGAGGGCCACCTTCTCCAGGAGGACCAGGGTCACCAGGAAAGCCAACAGGACCCTAATCCAGGAGAGATTAAAATTCAGGGTCATGACCTCCTAGGGCCATCCAAGGCCAACAAAGACCCCCAGGGGCACATGCCACAGTACCTCTTTATAGGGAGAAGCTACCTGTGTCACCCTGAGTTTCTTGAACCTGAGTTTCCCACACCTCATCCCTTCCTATCTTTTAGGGTATTTACCAGAGGACACCTCCACTTAACCATTCTCTGGATCCTGGACCCTATACCTCCCTCCCACCCTCAGAGACTTCCTCCCAGGTACCCCCCTACTTTGGGGTCCACTCCAAAGTCCTCACTCGCACACACCCATGTTCCCAGACCTCCTGTTCACAGGGCTCTGCTCTCAGCCCAGCACCCCAGACTCACTGGGTTCCCTTTGGGTCCGTCATCTCCAGTGGGACCTTTAGGCCCTGGTGGTCCTGCCTCTCCGGGCTGCCCAGACTCTCCTTTCTCCCCTCGCTCCCCACGTGGACCCTGGAGGGTGTGTAGAGGGTACAGATGGGCCCAAAGGGGTCTTGAAGCTTCATCAAGTGTGCAGCCTTCAGCCCCCGCCTTGTTCCCTCAGTGACAGCAGGCGGCACCGAGTCAAGCCCACGGGGAGTCCAGGCCCTCTTCCCTTCAAGCAAGGCTGGCAGCCTCTCTCTGAGCAGAGACCAGGCCTCAGAGAGCGGCTGGGGCAGACTCCTGGGCTGCCCTGGGCTGCGGAGGCGCTGTGGCTCAAAGAGGGAACGGGGAAAGTGGGGTGGAGCCGAGGGGGACACGGGACTTCAGAATGGGGCCTCAGAGTAACCACTCACCTTGACACCTGGCTCGCCCTGGACCCCAGGAGATCCTGACTCTCCTGGCTCCCCCTGCAAGGAGACTGGAGTCAAGACCCTCCTCTGCCCCAAATCCTAATATTCCCCAGACATCATATTCTTCTCCCCACCCCAACCCAAACTGGCACAAGTTCAGCCCTTAGCCCCCTAAGACAATTCACCCCCTTTCAGGTAGTTACCTTCTCTCCTGGAGGACCCAGGTTCCCAACACCTCCTGGGGGACCTTGTGGACCCTGGAAGAGAAACAGACACGGGGATCACTGCTTAGAAGAGGGGGTGCCCAGCCAGAGGCTGAGGGAGTCTCCCCAGGGCAGGCTGCACCTTCATCCAGAAGAGACCAGAGCTTATAGTCTGGGGAAAAGGAGGCAGAGGGCTGGCCACACGATCTGAAGGGACATGGGCCAAGAGGACTCACGTCAGCTCCATTGGGTCCAGCTGGGCCTCGAGGTCCTGGGGGGCCAGGTGGCCCCTGGGGAGAAATAGACACAGTGAGACGGGGAGGGGGAGTGAGAGAAAGAGCGATGTGAATGGCAAATGGCAGGAGTTGGTCAGGCATGGAGGGGGAGGGGCAGCCAGGCCAGAGGAGGGTGGGGGCCTCACCCACTCCCGGTCAGTGGCAGTGGGGTATTGGGGTGGGGCTGGATGGGCGGGATGACAGTAGGTGAAGCTGGGGTCAACAGAGGTCACACACCGTTAACGGGGTCACACTCACCATAGGGCCCACATCTCCTGTTTCTCCCTTCTCCCCCGAGGGGCCCGGCAAGCCCTGTGCAGGTACACACAGCACAGACCCAGGTGAGCAACCCACCCAAAGCCCAGCCCAGGCCCCCGCTTCCTACCCCCTCCGATGGAACACACACTCCTAATCCTCCCAGCTCCTCATCACCAGCAGTCCGACTCTCAGGCAGACATCAGCCCCATCCGAACCCCACCTCTCAGCCCTTGCCTCCACCCCAACTCACCTGGAGGCCAATGGGTCCTGGGGGTCCATTGAATCCTCTTGTTCCTTCATCACCTTTGGCTCCAAAGTGCCCCTGGGGACCCCGAGCTCCGGGCTCCCCATCTGATCCCTGAGGTGGGGGGAGGGCAGGGACAGGAAGCAGAGAGGGTCCCAACTCAGGTGTTCTCTGTCCACACAGAGCCGGACAACAAACCCAGAACCCCCCACCCCCAAGGCCGGGGGGAACAGTGCATCCTCACCGCTGCTCCAGGCTGCCCCACAGGACCAATGGGCCCAGGGGGTCCGGGGGGGCCCTGGGGGAGAAAGGAGAGTCAGAGATGTCAGGATAGAGAGAGAAGCACAGCAACCAAGTTAAGGCCGGAGGCCAGAAATCAAAGTCATGAACACTTACATGTTCACCCTTGTTCCCTTTGGTGCCCTTCTGTCCGGGGTCTCCCACCTCACCCTGGAGGAGAGGGCAGGTGAGCTGTTAGAGAAGGGAGCCAGGCAGAGTGGGGGGACGGGAGCGCGAGGCGCCATGCCAGACCAGGGGCCGTCAGGAAAGAAGAGTCCGGAGTAGCTGGGCCCCTCACCTTGTCTCCATCCTCTCCTGACACACCCGGGGGCCCAGCGGGGCCAGGGAGCCCCACGGGGCCCTGCACCCCATCACGGCCAGTTGGGCCAATGGGACCCTTCTCACCCTGTGGGAAGTGAAAAAAGGAGTGATGGCCGGACCCTCAAATACCCCCACAGGAAGCCTTCTGTGACCCAACAGACCCCTCCTCAGTATCTCCCCAGGGACCCCATACTCACCGGGACACCCTTCTCTCCAGCTGCTCCAGGAGGCCCCTGAGGTCCTGGGCGCCCTGGGGGGCCAATGGGTCCCCCTGATCCTGCTGCACCTCGCTCCCCAGGGGAGCCCTGAGGTAGGAGATGAAATCAGACGCCCAACAAGGCGACGATATCCCACCCATACCAGAGGACCCCCGACCTCAGTCCCCAGGAGAACAGCACAAAATGAGTTCCTTGTAGTTGGCCCCATAACCCCCGCCTGGCCCCACAGCCCTGCTTACACCCAGATGCCACCCTGCACTCTTCCTCATGCACCCCTTTGCTGGCTCCCCCCACTTCTCCCAAGAGACCCCAAACTCACTGCAGGGCCAGGAGGACCAGCTGGACCTTCATTTCCCTTCAAACCGGATCCACCCTAGGAACCAGAAATGGGGGGGCCACAGATGTGAGCGGAAGGTGAGACTCCAGAGGGGCAGGAGTTGAGGAGTGTGCTGGGAAGGATGAGAGGAGACAGGCTGAGAGAGTGGGGGGTGGGGTCGCTGGGGGTGCCAGAATGCAGAGACGTTACTATCAGGGGCTGGGGTCACACTCACAGCCGTGCCTGGAAGGCCTCTCTCTCCAGGGAAGCCCCTCAGACCAGCGGGGCCATCCTTCCCCGGTGCCCCTGGGGGTCCAGGGTCGCCCTAAAAGAAAATGAAAGGTGAAGAATCGCAGCCATGCTCCCACGCTGGTCAGAGTGCTCTCCCATACCCGCCGCCCCCCCAGTCCCCAATTATCTATTCCCTTCAACAGCCTAGCCCTCATGTGCCCTCTGCCCAGCCTTTTACTGACCTTTGTTCCTTCTTTGCCAGCTGTTCCAGTCAGTCCCTGCTCTCCAGGGGGACCTGGGGGGCCAGGGTGACCTCTTTCCCCCATGGGCCCAGATTCTCCTGCTGCTCCCTAGAAAAGAGCAGACTCCAATTTCAGACCCCTGATCCCACTGTCTGTCCAAAGAGGCTACTGTGGCCATTCTAAAATAGCCTTCAAAACCCCCTTTATACCTGTCCCAGAGCTACTGGGAAATCTTGGGGTTCTCCTAGGCAGCTGTGCCAATTTTAGGCCCATGTGGAAGAACTACACCCCCTTGTGTCCCTGTTGAAGAACTGCCTCCTCTCTGAGGCATGAGAAAACTGAAACTGGCCTAAGAAACAAACTGAAGTTCAGAAGTCCCTTCTCTAAATCCCAACACCCACCACTTACCCCACCCCACCCCCAGGGGTACAGGTGAGGCAAAGCAGAGGCAGAGGCATCTCACTGGGAAGAGGGACAAGGGGGTCGGATAGACTCCAGGGTCTGGGGTCCATTCTTTCCGGAGGGCAGGCATACCTGAGGCCCCACCACCCCTGGAGGACCAGGAGGGCCGGTCTTCCCTTGGAAACCCTGAGGAGAGAAGAGAAGACAGAGCAGTCACAACCTATAGCCAGACACGGCCTTTGTGAGGTGGTGCTAGGGTTCCCAGAGGCAGGACAGGGTCACTACCATGTTCCTGACCCTGGGTCTGAACAGTGCCAGGATCCTCTCTACTCTGCCACGACAACCTCCCTGGTGGAACTTCCAGACAGCTCTGGAGTTTGGGGGTCTGGCGGGGTGAGGGCATCACTTACCACTTCTCCTCTCTGGCCAGGGTGTCCTGGCAGCCCATCTTTCCCAGGGGGACCCTAGGAGGAGTTCAGATGTCAGAGGACTCTAGGCTGGAAGAGGATGGAAAATAAGGACTCACAGAACTAAGTTGGGTCAGAGGTCAGCTTACTGGAGGTCCTTTGGGGCCAGGAAATCCATTGGGGCCCTGAGGTCCAGGGAGACCCTAGAAACAGAAATGGGGCAAGTCAGGAGAAAAGAGAAGGGTGTTAGGCAGGGGACATAGAGCTTTTCTCCTTGGGTGCTTTAGAGGGGAGACTCAAGTCACACTCACTCTCTCTCCAGGGGGGCCGTGGGGGCCATCACCACCTGATGTGCCCTGTGGAGGGAAACAGAGGGAGAGTAGCTATTTTCTTGGTATCTGGGGGTCAGAGGAGTTGAGGGGGGCCTAGACTTAGGGGAAGATGAAGTGTGAAGCCGAAATGCTGCCAGGATCACTAACCTTAGCTCCAGACTTCCCAGTGGCACCTCGAGGTCCCCGCTGTCCCCGCGGACCCTAGATAGAGAGTGGGAATTGTCAGAAAACCCCAATGCGGCTCTGGAGCCTGAGACACACACCTCCCCACTGCACTCACCGTGGGGCCCCGCTCTCCCCGAGGCCCTGATTTCCCAGACAGGCCCTAGTGGGAACAAAGCAGAGATAACACACATCACCCAGGGTGTGACCCCCAGGAGGAACCCTGTCCGCGCACCCTCTCCCTACCCGGCTTACCCGGGCTCCCTTCTCTCCACCAGCTCCAGGAAAGCCAGGAAATCCCAGGGAGCCCTGGTGAGGATGGAGAAGGGGAAACATTGAGAAGTCATGGCTGGAGAGGGCCTAGAAGGGCCCGCAGGGTCAGGGAAGGGGCAAGAAGGCAGGGAGGAGCCCTGGGCTCTGGCCTTGGGCAACCCCTGCTGCTGTCTGCCTGGTCCCTCATCTGCGGAACGGGGCAGTCTAAATTCCCATAGGGTCCCCCAGTGCGCTGTCCAGTAAAGTCTGGAATCAGTGGTCTGGGAAAGCAAAGGAGGGGCTGCAAGTGAGGCCTCACATCACCTTGGGACCCTGGCGTCCGGGGTAGCCAGGCAGACCAGGAACACCCAGCTTGCCCTGCAGAGGAAGAGGGGGCAGTTAGCAGCCAGAGGAGCGCCAGCACCCCGCCCTCCCCGGGGCCTCAGCCCTCAGCATCGTGCCAGTCGCCACCCAGCAACACTGCCCACAAACCCCCAGCCCCGGCCCTCATCTCCGGCCCCAGGGCTGCCTGACTCTTGTGACCTCTCCTTCCTGACTGGACTCTCCCAGCTCTAGTGCTGTGTGGAGACCAACGTGTACAGCCCCATGCAGTCCCCACCCCCTCTTCACCAGCACACACTGCTGCTCCCAAGACCAGCCTCTCCCAGGCCTCTTCACCAGCACACACTGCTGCTCCCAAGACCAGCCTCTCCCAGGCCTCTTCACCAGCACACACTGCTGCTCCCAAGACCAGCCTCTCCCAGGCCTCCACTCCATGCGACCCACTGCTGCCCGTGGCTCACACTCCACACCACCGCAACTCCCCAGCACACACCCCAGGGGCTTCAAGCCTGTCTTCCCAAGACACATGTGGAAGCTATGTTGGGAGCAGGGGTTCCACAGCCTGACCAGCTGGGCCCAAACCCCGGCTGGGCCCCTCACTGGCTGTGCAGCAACAAGCGTCCTAGCCTGGGGGCCTCCGTGAGAAAAGGACTGTAATGGGCCTGCCTGCAGCCCTGCCCTGCCCAGGTCAGGCGTGCAGCAGCCCACAGAGCTTGTGGGGTGACCACAAAGCTTGTGGGGTGAGAGCGCAGAGGGGCTCACGCCCTTCTTGGGCCCTCCCTTTCTGGAACTCCTACTGCTCCGAGTTGGGACACCTTCCGCCTGCCCTGCACTTAAAGTTACCCTCCGAGACCTCCATGCCTTGTCCCCATCCACCTTGTAAACACTCGTGACAGGAATTTTCCTGTATACGTGCCCCCCTCAACCCCCCCAGAGTCCATGAGGTGCCAGCTACAGACAGGAGCATAACTAATGCACGGTCGTCTTTGGCTGACTGACATCAGGTGCTGGTGCCCCCATGCCCCCCCTCGCCCCAGTGCCGGTACCCTTCATGTGCCCAGAGCACACAGGCACAGGCCCTTCGTCCCCCGTCACCTTCTCGCCCATGAGCCCTGTGGGTCCAGGGTCTCCGGTGGGTCCAGTGCGTCCCTTCGGCCCCTCTGGACCATCCTCTCCCCTGGAGCCAGGGACACCGACCTCGCCCTGGGTAAGAGGGTTGGAGAGGTGAGTGTTGGGGACGCAGCATGGGGTTGGACTCTGAGAGGAGAGGGGGGCCCCAGCGAGGCCCCATGGCGG